GTTGTCTATGTCTTCCATAAGAGCCCTTACCATATTAATTACAGTTATTTTAAATTCCCTGCCTGATAATTTTGACATCTGTGTCATACCTGAGTCTGGTTCTGGTGCTTGCTTTGTCTCTTCAGACTGTGTTTCTCTTGCCTTTGGCATGCCAGAGGCTTCAAATTCCTCTAGCGTCCTTACTTTTGTCTCCTGTCTTTCTTTTGTGCTTCCCTAAGTGCTACTGTTCAGATAGAGTCTGTGTCTTGCAGTTCTTTCACCTGTGATCCACTGTGATTACTAAAGCCCTATGGTATGTGGTAAAGTATGAGGGAAGGAGAATGTTTTATAATCTTTTCATTAAATCTCAGTGTTTTAGTGGGCCTGTGTCTCAGGTATGTGCTTTTCACAAGTGTTTCGTCTTGTACAGCTTTAAACAGGACAAGAAGAGGCTGAAGTTAGAGGAATATCCTTCGCCCATGGCTCTCTTAGAAGACACTGATGAAGCCTTTCCCCTTAGAGAGCAGGCCTTTGTTTCTGGACATGGTTCACAAGGACTGCTCTTCCCCTCCCCTGCCAGAGCTACAGGGGAATCTTTCGCAAATCTTCACCATGGAACCTGGTGGGTTTCCTGTAAGTAACCCATGAAAGGGCAGAGGATCCTTCACACTTCAGCCCCCAGGAGTTTCTCACTGGCATGCTAGTCCACACTCAGCATCCAGAAACTCATAAAAATTACCATTTAAATGTTTTGACCAATTAATAACGCCAGTGGTTTCTGGTCCAACTAAGCAGATCTGGGCTATGATTCACTGGATTGGCCTACTCTGCAGATTTTGCAGTGGTAGTTTGTCCTGCAAACTCAGTTCTCTGATGTAACCAAGAAATACCATTGATTTGCATTTTTCTACTTTTTCCTTGTTTTAAGAGCTAGAGTAAAAACTTCCATGCTTTGTATATGTTGGAGCTAAAATTGGAAGTCTGCTTTGGTATTTTTAATCACTAGCAGCTTGGTATTTAAGGCCTCAGCTGTAAAATTCAAATTCTTGGAGCTGGAATCATCTGAAAGTTTGCTGACACACACATGTAGTGATTGATGCTGATGCCGACTGGAAGCCTCGCTGGGACTGTTGACCAGAGTATCCATGCATGGCTTCCCCATGCAGCCTGAACACTCCTCAGTGTGATGGTGTAAATGGACAGGGGGCGGGGGGGAGTGAAAGAGAGAGAGAGAAAAGAAGGGCAGGATGGGGGCTGGGGAGGAAAGCCAGGTAGAAGCTGCATCTTAGAGTTAGAAGTTACATGACTTCACTTCACTTCCACTGCACTCCACTAGTAAGGGAAGTCAAAAACCTCCTTCAGTATTAAGCGGAGGGGCAGACCCCCTACCTTTCAGTGGGAGGAGTGTCCATCACATCATAAAAAGAGCATGCATGGGGTTGGGATGAATATATAGCTGTGGTCATCTTTGGAAAATTTAACTTGTTACAGGTTGAATATGGGGAATTCTGAGTTATCTGGTAAGGTTGGACTAGAGTATCTAAAGAATTTTAGACCTTGTCAGACTGTGACTCTGAAACAACCTCACAGTGACTTTTCCATATTATTTTGAAACAATAACAAACTTACAGAAGAGTCAGAAAAGCTTTATATTTCCTGAATCATCTCAGAGTAAGGTGGTGCCCATTACCTCTGAATACTTTAGTGTGCATTTCCTATCCATAAAGACATGTCCTGCTTAACCATGATACAACCATCAAATGCAAGAAACTTCAACTGAGACATTACTATCACCTAATCCCGAGACGTCATTCAAGTTTTAACAGTTGTTCTAAAAATGCCTTCTACTGCAAAAGGATCCAGTTCAGAAATTTACATTGCATTTAGCTGTTATATCTCTATAATACATTTCAGAATGTATTCCTCAGTCTGCAGTCTTTCCTTAGCTTATGTGACTTTAATGAAAACTACAGATAAGGTATTTTGTATAATCCTCCTCAATTTATATTTGTATGATGGTTTCTCATAATTAGATAGTTTATGCACCTTTCACAGAGATACCACAGGTGGTACACAGTATTGATTTCATTATATCCCATCAAATGGGACACCATTTTTATTTATCTTATTACTAATGATGTTCACTTTTATCCCTTGATTAAGATGATGTCTGCTATACTTCTCCATTGTAAAATTATTCCCTTTCAATTTGTAATTAATAAGTATTTTGTAGGTCAATGTCTTACAACTCTGTCAATATCTCATTTCTCATCAAAATCAGTTTATTCATTTATATCAGTATGTACTTGTGGTTTTCTATTGTATTCAATAGGTTAGAATACATTACTATAACTATTTATTTTGATGCTCAAATTTTCCCATATTTTGTCAGTCCCTTCAAGCTGGTTTCTGTGTTTTTTAACACATCTTCATTATTCTCTGAGCACTTCTTGCTTTTTAGCATGGTAAGGCACACCTTGTACTTTCCCTACCCCAGCCCTGGAATTAGCCAATTCTCCAAGGAGTCCTGGTTCCTTCTAGCAGAGAATGGTATTTAGAAGTCAAGATCTGGACACCAAGTGTCCTTATTGTTATTGGGGTGTTGCTGCTTTCGGGCCCTCTCGGTGGACAGAGTTAGAGAATATATATGTGAACAGATACTTGTATCTACTATTTCTTTCTATAATATATCTAACTTTATATACTGAAGACCATAGGTTAACAATGGTACATTCAATTCCAATTCATAGGGTTAATTATACTTTCCTCTCTTCCTATATTGTAACTCCCTTCCCCAACACTGAGAAAACCTGGTTCCCACTATCCTTAATATATTTACTAAATCAATTCCCCTGTAAATAACCAATCTCTCATCTGCACTAACATGCCTTCCCCTGTGTGGATGCCATTCTTGTCTCACTCTAATTCCCCATGCTGGGCCTCCCCACTACACAGACATTCTCCTCATCTTGCTTGGGTTCTGACACCCACTCTAAGGCATTCTTCCACATGGGCACCTCCTTGCTAGGCTGAAGCTCTGGCCACCCACCTCAGGCTGCTTCCCTATGGTAGGCTGAATAATGGACCCCCAAAGATGTTGAGGAGGAAGCCCCAGGTGCTTAACCCTCTCTGTCCTTGCCACTCACAATCTTGCCACCACCACATGTTCTGAAGCCAGTAGAACTCATCTCACTGGTACCCATTATCCCTGTTTATGGCAGTGACCATAAAATGTCTCAGACTCATGACACCTCTCTAAGCACCTTCCCATTTATGATCTCTTCTCTTACCCTGATTCACTGGGTCTTCTAGAATTCAGAGTCTGGCACTAACCAAATCCATCATCTTCTCAACTTCCTCCTACTCAAAAGATAAAGTGGTTCTCCCCTATGGACACTATTTCCCCTGCAGCCCCCTCAAGTGGTGACTGTTTTTCTCTCCCATCTTTTGGGCCCACCACACCAGTCTGCTGGTTCTTCCACCACTCCAGGCAAATCTCCACTTCAGAGCCTTTGCAAGGGTACTCCTCTGGCCTGGAACCCAAATGGCAATTGCATCTTACAAGTGTTTCCTTAAATGTGATCTCTTCAATGAGGCCAACTTTAATCACTCTATTTAAACCTCTAACCTACCCACCCATCCCCACATAGTGTTCCCAGTTCCCCCCTTTTCCTTTTTTCCCACAGCACCAATCACTTTCTAACATGCCATGCCACGAACTTACATACTGTGCTTTGTTTATTGTCTACCTCCCTCCTTGTTCAATTTCAAATTCCCCAAAGACAGGGATCCTTGTCTGTTTTGTTGACTAAGGTATCTCAAGCACCTACAATAGCACCAGGCACATAATATGTACTCCAGTAGTTCTTGAGTTGGAGAATGAACTCTCAGCACAATATTATGAGGAAGGCAAAATTATTTCTCTTTTTCAGACAAGGAAACTGAAGCTTTGAAAACATAAATAATTCATTACAGGTCTCACTGCTTGTAATGGCATAACCCGGATTTCAACTGTGGTCTCTCTCCTTAGAGCTTACTTACACCCACTGTCCCACGTCCACCCAATGGGGTTTGCCCAGGAATGGGAAAGGGGGAGAAGCTGAGATAGAGGAAGGAGCAGGGAGATGGAGGAAGGGGTAGAAATAAATCTCTATGTGCCAAGCTAAGCAGTTTGGACTACATTCCACAGCAGAAGCTCTGAATTAAATAGTGACATAATTAAATCTATATCTTGGAAAGACAGCTCAAAGAGCTGCCATCTGGAAAAGTGAAAGCCAACAAATTGCCAGTGGAGAGATGCACACTTTTAATGAGGCCTAATGCAACTCTAAGAATTCCACAACTAAAAATGACTTTCCTCCTACTGGTTCATTAGCCGGTTGTTCCTTCACTCCAGTCCTAAGAAAAAGTCTGACGCAGCATAAATAGTTGTGAAAATACACTTTATTCATACATACTAGATATTGATAAACTAAACAAATGAGTTACTTTCCATTTGGGCACAGTCACAATTGTCAACAGTACTGGGAAGCACCAGGCATGAAATCTCCTGAGATGCTATGCTTTCATCAGGGCACAGGTCATATCACCTGACACATTCAAGTGCTGGCTGGCATGCCATTAAAGCAGTGGCTCAGAATGCAGACATGTTCTCAAGTAGACAGCAAATGAATGGTGTCATTCCATTTATAAGTGTTCATTGCATCATCAAGTGAAATAAACACACAACTCACAGAGTCTTGCTTAGGTCAGCTACCTAGTTGGCCCCTGAGACAAAGCCTTGTAATCACATAGTCTTGCCTAATTAGTCAGAAAACAAAGGGTCAAGGGAAATAGTCACAGAATGCAGGAATTATAAATAATACATATATTAATAGATATTCATTTTCATTACATAAAAGTTATCATTATAAATACTTCTTTGATGGATGAGTCTAAAATATATTCCCCATATAAATAAAGTTAAATATTAATAAATAGATTTAGATTTAAAAATTCAAATATTGCAGGTAAGAGGACCATTATTTGGATGCTCTCCGACCTCGAAACGGCATCTGACTTCTTTTTCGCTTTCTTTGGTTGGTTCTCGACGACAAGTCGTTCATCACGTGGTGGAGTTCACTTATGGCTTTACGCTGGACCTGTGGGTCATTTAACTATTGGGAAAGAAAACAGCAAAATTAACTTCAGGCACACAGCCATCGGGATATTCTGTTAATGTCACGGTCAATGAAAATGGAAGTATTCCTTAAAAAGAGGGATGGGGGGGGAGGTGGATTCTGACTAGCACTACAATACCTTAATATATAGTATTTATTTCTTCAGCAGTTGAGACTAAAAATTATAACTAAATTGCTAGTTGTGCTATAATACAGTGGGGCACATTATATACCCTTAAATTTACTGCTACAGAGTTCTCAGAATTATATAGTGAAAAGAGCCCTCATGTGGAGTGGATTTTAAAAGGTGGGTTTGAATCCCATGCATACAATAGCTCTGACTTTGAACCAGTCACGTAGCTTCTCTGAACCTCTGTTTTCTCATCTAAATAATGTCTTCATGTCATCAATCTACCAATGCTATTTCCTTATATTTTAATTAATCTTTGTGGTGCATGTCAATTGAGTTACTGTAGGTCAATAGTTCTCACCATTGTGTGTAGCAGATTAATATGGAGACCCAATAAAGAACTCAAGAGACTCAGGTGCATGAAGTAGAAGACATATGCCATTGTGCAGTCACTAAGTTACCCACGTGACTCTGATACCCACCGAAGTCTGACAATCACTGTTATAAGTTAAGCGCTTTGTAAAACACCAAATCCAAGACCAGTGAAAACTATAATTTTTAATTTCCCCCAAATTAAGTCAATCTCATCGTTTCCATACTTGGGATTAAAAATAAGCACTAATCATATTTACATGGCTTACTGATAAATAAAATTTAAAATTAGGATTTACAACAACTTTTCTTGTGCCCTTCCTTCTATGCCAGCAAACTGAACTATTTGCAATTCCTCACTCTAACCAATAGGGCATTTAGGTGATTTCATGCTTGATAAAATGCAGACCATTTACTTTCTTCTTGGCTCTGCTATTACATTTCTTTCTAGTGCTGGAAACACTGTGGCCGCCTTGCCACATTTCTGAGAATGATTAGAAAGATTTTAGGCTATAGAACTAATCATTAAAGGGTATAACATAACTAAAATATGCTAGCAATTGAGCCAAAGAGGACAAGAATTAAGAGCTCACTAGAGATTGCCCATCATGAAGCAGAAGGTCTGGAGCTTCCAGAAAGACAGAACCAACAGAATTTTTTTTTTTTCGCTTTTTAAGGCCTACTTACTACAGAGTAAAAAATGTTTTCTAACAGCTGTGTGTTTGCAAGTCACAAATTTTACTTTCCAGCGTTCAAAACATCGCCGAGAGACTGAGAGACTTATCCATGACTGAACAGCAAGCCGAAAGCAGCCCTGGATTAGGGGCAGGTGCTTCCTGAGTCTCTAGCCAATGGCCAAAGGAGACTTGCTGCCATGTGTCCCTTCAGTTTCTGGGGCTGACAGGAGAGGGGCGGGAGGCAGACCTAGGTGTAGTGGAAGCTGGGCACAAATGCTAAGACCCTATCCCTCTCATTTGAGCCCATTTATATTAAAGCCAAACACAAAGGAGTATGGAGGCCTTTGTCTCCTAGATAAAATTTTGGAAAATGTTATCTGTCTTTATGCTTCAAAGTTATCTTTCAGCTTATAGAAGCCATAAAAAGACTAGAGACAATTTCATGAAATAAGACCTAGCAGCCATAAGACCTGGAATATTTTTCCAGCTAAAACACTCTGAAAGTTGATAGAATAATCCTTATCATAAGGTGTAAAGTCTGCCTATTTTTTCCCTGAAAACAAAGACACAGCAACCTTCCTCACTTCTAATAGGACTGCACAATCTGAGGGGCAGACCTGAGACCTGCAGTAGGATGCCCCAGGGCCTCCTCAAAGTCTGTGGCTCTCTCCCATCTCATTCTCACTTTCTATCCATGGCATCATAGAGTTTTAGAGCCAAGAACTATAGAACTTATGTAGTGAACCCAACAGCTTCCTTTTATGATGAGGAAACTGAGCCCCAGCCAGGCATGTGATTCATCTGTGGCCACACAGTTCCTTGGTGGCTGAGTTGGGAGGAGAACATGAATCTTCTCAGCCCCTCCCCTGCCTTTTCCACTAAGATGTGTGACCTCCCATCTAAGGCAAGAGTTTCCAACACACAAACAAATCACAATGAAAGAAATGCTTCTAGACACTCCCCCTACTTCTTCACCTACTTCCTCCTCACTGGATTTGTCCATTCACCTATCTTCATGCTATAGTTAAAATGCCAGCATTTTTCCAAATTACACATGTAAATGATTCTCATACTGATTTTATAAAGTCATCCAATGCACTAATACCAATGGAATAAGCAAGGCAGGGTTTTGGCCATGGCTTGATTCCATAGCTTTAGCAACTGTTAAATAGCTAATTTCTAGTTTCTGGAAATTAAATGCTGTGCAAGAGCCTCTGCAATGAAAACAAAGACACAATTAAAATAGCCTCACCGAAAGTTTAGTCAGCTGTTGAAAGTCCTCCAGTTTGCTGCGGCTGCCATTGAAAAGCTTGGCAATCAGATCTTCCTTGATGGTCTCCATACTCTTTTTGATGGTCTGGTTGTCTTTATGATTTTCAAAGAGTTTGAAGTAGAAGGACACAATTTGGCTCTGAATTATTTTTTTGTCACTCTCCTTGGGAGAAAGGAGCACAAAGAGAGGATGATGTGAATTTATCCATCAGAAAATAAGCAACGGGAAAATTAGCCAAATGGCAATATTCAGCTTACCTCTTTCCATTTCTTCAAAATATCTAGGAAAACATTCCTACCATCTGCTACATCTGGACCACTTGCATTCTGAAAAAGAAAGAAAAGAAAAAATATCAGTTTACAATCAGTTCATAAATTGCCCTAAAATGTACTTCAAGTTTGATTGAAGTCAGATGCTGGCAATATTTACTAATTTCCTTTCAACCTTTCTGTTTAGTTCTAACAATAAGTATTCCCCAAAGCTTTTATGTTTGATATAGCCAAAAACTATTATGCTCTTTTAGCTTTCTTATTTTCTAGTATAACCCTTAAGTTGTAATGTCACAAATGAACTCAACAAGGCTGATGATACTTCAGGTGTCTCAAAAAACTATAGTAAAATAAAGAAAGTATTTTCAAGCTTAGTAACACAGACAAACAAACCAAAAAAACAGCTAAGTCATCCCACTATAAATACTGCCCCCTCAACAGAGAGGTTTCTATATATCTGCCTAACATATACCTTCTTTTAGGGTCTTATTAAGTCTACTTTAAAAGATAGTTCCAAATGTGTGTGTGCATGTTTTAGGGGGAGAGAGATTGGATTTTACATTGCAAGAATAAAATCAATTGTGAATGCTTGAACAGTATTATAACAGCTATAATTATAATAGCTCATATTGGACAAATAATAAAATATTTAAAATATGAAACTATTTTTATTCACCATAAATAAAATTTAAAAAGAAATTTATAAAATAAAACTTTAAAAATTCCTAAGCCAGAATCCTAATTCTTATAAAATCTCAGAAAATCTCAGCTAGTGACTGAGTTCAAAAGAAAGTCACAGGTAATATAGATGGAGCAGTAGAATTTTGAAATCACTTTTTGAAGAAAAACATCTGTAAGGGATTTTTTTAAGCCAAAGCTTTAAGGACCTTACCTTCTTTTTCTTTAACTCGTAAATTGTTTCCTATTACTGGGGTTAATGCTAATCTTAACCTTTTACTGTCACTTTCATATTAGTCTGGGAAATCAGAAACTAATAGCCAATCATTTTTTCAATATGAATACGACTTGACTTATCACAACTGAATGGGTTCTCATCACAAAATTATCAACATCACTATGTTTTATCCCTATGCTATCCCCATCTTTCGGAAGATTCATGAATCCCCTCTAACTCTCTATACAAACTGAGCAGAGGGTTAAAGCAATAAATTTAGTCAAGAAACTCATCCAGCCAACAATTAGCAAAATATAACACCAACTCGTCTCAAAATGACTGTGGAGGAGAGGTAACAGCCTATCAGAGATCCCACTGTAATTCAATGTTTAGTCGTTTTCAACCACAAACAAGTATACTTAAAAGGTCATACTTACAAAATATTCCTTAAGGTCGTCTATTTCTTTAAAAAATGCACCCTGGCAGTAACAGCCCGAAGAACCCAAAAGGATACAGAGCTGAACAACCAAGATATAACTTGTGTAATTCATTCTTTCGGAGAGAGGCCGAAGAAGTTGCAAGCAGTAGCTCCTGTGACAAGTTGGTCAGGTCCAAAGGACTGAGCTGATCCTTCTTCTCTAATTTCTGATCTGGCGGTGATCAGAACAATGTACTGTATCTCCTTTTGCTGCTGGTATTTATACCAGTTGAAGTCTCATCAGGATTACGTATTTTCACACTTTTTTTTTTTGAGATGAGATGGTGACAGATAGGCGGGGATGCTAGTTTGTATTAATAACTATGGTTTTGTGGCATTTTGGTGTTGTAGTTAGAGTTTCCTTTCAACTTCTTGGGTCCTTTGACGGTGAGACAGACCCATTATGCCCACCTGTGCCATTCTTTGAAAGCACTTTTACTTCACACCATTCAAGGACTGGAAATTTTTTGGCGTCTCCCCTCTTTGCCCTTGTCAAACGTTGACTCCTCATCCACAGAGCACATTGATCATTTGTTTGTGGTTGGGAACAAGTGAAAAAGGAAATTCTAGGGCCTCTCAAACATTTACAAAGGGGGAGCCTTTTAAAATTTTTCTTGCAAATGACCAGAAAGCAAGGAAAAATGTGGTTAAAAGACCAAGGTGGTTGAGGAAGTCCTTCATCAGACTTGGTTAGTAAAATATCTACCACAAGTTTCAAATTACTCTAGACCAATAATGCCCAACAGAAATATATGACAAGCCACACAGGTAAATGTACATTTTTCTGGTAGCCCTATTAATAAAAGTTAAATGGTAATAATAATTCTTAAAAATATTATATTTAAACCAAAATTCCATTACAATATGTGCCAATATACATTATTAATAAGATATTTCACGTTCTTTTGTCATATTAAATCCTTGAAATCTAATGTACATTTTATACCTATGGTGCACCTCAATTTGGACTAGCCAGTTTCAAATGCTTAATAGGCACATGTGTCTAGGTGCTACTGTATTAGGCAAGATAGCTCTAGACGATGAATTGTTCCAAATAATCATTGATAATAGAGAATCCTTTTTTAACTTTTTGTTTCTTATCCTTTCAAATACAAAAAAATTAGGATTCTTTCTCCTGCCTTGCTAATTTATTTATGAAGTACAGCACTTCTGGGTGGCACAGCAGTCCCTCGCCTCTTTGGTTCCAAGCCACCTTGTATTTCTACCTGTACTTCTTAACTTTTCTATGACTCAGTTTCCTTATCTGTAAAATGGGCTTAATAATAAGCTTCAGTTGAAAATTAAATCAGATGATCCCCAAAAGGTGCTAAGAATTTTGCCTGGTATACAATAGTCACTCAATAAAAGTTATCTATTGCTATTTTGGCACACTGGACAAGTAGTCTTGTCTAAAAACGTACCCTGAACATTTGTTCATGCTGTTTCTTCGGTCTTGAGTTCCCTTTCCTCCCATCTGTGCCCCTCAGCATGGTACCCATCCACCCAAACCCAGGCTAAGGATCATCTCCATGAGTTCTCCCAATATTATCCTCCTGCAAATTGATCTCATATTTTCTATACAAGTCTTGGTTTATACTTTTATCAGAGTCCTGATTCCTTAATCTCTATTAGAATTAGTTACCAATGTGTCTTCTCCCCTGTTATACTGAGTTTCTTAACATCAGAAGTTGTTTCATTGCTTCTACAATGAAACTTCTCATCCCTAAAACATTTACATTTTAGTGTGGAGCTTTGCTCAATGCACTGAATAAATATACACTTGCATGATTGCTTAAGGATCTATTTTGTGTTATTTGCTCTCAAATTCTAATCCCAATGCTATCAGAACTAACCTGTATGAAGCAAGATTTACAGGCTGGCATAGTGGCTCACACCTGTAATCCCAGCACTTTGGGAGGCCAAGGCTAGAGGATTGCTTGAGGCCAGGAGTTTGAGACCAGCCTGGGCAACATAGCAAGACCCCATCTGCACAAAACAATAAAAAATAGCCCGGCGTGGTGGAATGCACCTGTAGTCCTAGCTACTTGGGAGGCTGAGGTGGGAGGATTCTTGACCCCAGGAGTTCAAGGTTGTCATGAACTATGATTGTGCCACTGTACTCCAGTCTGGACAACATAGCAAGATCCTGTCTCTAAATTAATAAATAATTAAATAAAATCTATGATTAGTGTTCAAACAATGACTCTATTTCTCTTTAGCTCATACCTACTGACTAAGACAATGCCATGCATCATTTTATGTGAAAAAAGGCAGAAAGCTCTTTGAGGGGCTATCTTCCCAAAGAACAAATAAGATCAAAACATTTCTGTGGGACCAACACCTCATGTTAAGCAAGTGAAGAGTGTAGACATCACATGGTTGCACACAAAGCTCTATTGTATTCATAGCTCTCCTTAAGGAAAATTATGTCCAGAGAATATGCTTGTAGAATGGCAAAGTGATGTGGGGCGAAACCTAATCCAAGCCTGAGATACACTGCAGGCACCCAGTACCTTCCAGTGGCCAGACTCTGAGTCACTGGAAGGAACATACTCAACTTTCTGCAAAGGAGTAAAAATGAATTACTCCTATTCCTTGATTAATCCGCTGGAATGTAGTATTAAAGGTAAGCAGTTAAGAATAATGGGATCCATAATAGGGAATTATATGCTGCCTGGGCATTTGAAAATTGAGAATGCCTTACCAAAATAACAGATAATATTAAGAATATGTTTATAAAAAGACTAGATATTTAGTCTTAGTAACTACATGACTAAAACCAAGCTCTAGTAACTCTTGATGGCATGATCAAACATGGATTTATGAAATTATGGAGATTATCTATGATCTATCCCCTCACTTTTTAGATTTGTAAATAAAGACCCAGAAAAGCAATTGCTTAAATTCATCCAACTGATTAATACAGAGCTAAGTCTAGGACCAAGATCTTTTCCTTAATCAGCCCATCCCCTGATTGATCAATATCTATTAAGATTATTATATGTGCCTCTAACTATGTTAGATATGTAAATTCAAATAATTACATCCTCTCAGGCTTTGGTTTATGGGACTTTTTTCATGCAGAAGCTATGAGATAGTAGTCATACTGTAATTCCTTAAAAAATAGTAATAATACAAATAAAGATTTTGAAATTCTTGGCTAGATATTCCAGCAGACCAAACTTCATGGTCCTGCAACGTGTACTACTACTCTGTCAGGCCCCTGAACTTAGAACAGCCCACATTTCACTTAATGCTCTGTTATCACCTTCTTGAAATTCCTAATAATTTTTTAACAAAAGGCCTGCGTTTTCATCTTGCACTGGTTCCTACAAATTATGTAGCTAGTCCTGCATTCCCAGGCTGGAAGTGAATCATCTGCTATTAGATTTTCATCTTCCAACATGCAATTCTTTGATTCAGAATGTTGTCACCACAATAGTATGTCCTTTTATGATCTTTTCCTGTCTTTTCAACTTTGCAAACAAATTTCTCTCCCTTTTCTTCCTGTAAAACACCTTATGTTGCACATGCAAACTAGAGGTTTCACACTTTGTTGGTTCGTCCAATACTGAGACTGCAGAAAAATTCACCACTGAGATATCCTTTAGAAGTTTTACAAAGCCACCAGGAGCCAAGGTGTGACCATGTTGCTAAAGCAGAGGGGCTGAAACTTTCTTTTTTCTTTTCAGTTAGACTTTCTTTCTGAAAACTGGCTATGGTTGTGCATTACGCGTCAGCAAGATTTCAATCACATCTCATGCTATCCTCAGCCTTAACTGAGTAGGTAGTCAGTAAGACAAAACTTACACCTTGGTTGCCCTTTTCCTCTTTGATCAGCAGTCACATCCCTACCACTCACAACCAAATTATCTCATCCAGTCTTCGGTGTAGATTTCTTCCACTCAGTATGAGTCAATGTTGGATCCATGACCCCCACGCTATTTCGACTTCCGGAACTCCTGACATCATGCAAGCCGAGCCTACGGAAGAAGCATGACATACAGAATGGAAGTCCACACGGAGTCAGATTTTCCCCGAAATTTGACTCATAAAATCCTGTATGTTAAAGGAAGATTTTCTGAATCCCCCTTTTTCTTTTGTGCCATCCAGGCAACTTTGAGGGGTGGTTCAGAGAATATAGAAGGTATTCTGCCTATGCAGTATAATCATTAGGTTATATATTCTCAATTGTATGTTAGATTGAATTGTGCATTGATAATCTAGAGATTCATGGTCCTTCCTTGAAGGTCATATTTTTTGTTTCACAAGGAATTTTAAAGCACCTACTAAGTGCCAAGTACTATAATTGACATAGGACTACCAAAAGAATGGAAAGTTCTGCTGTGGAAATATTTGTTTATATCGTAATTTCAATTAATTATAGGTCTATCCTAATTTCAATCAATTATATGTCTTTACTGAGCACTTAAGGCATGCCCATAGCTTTAAAGATGACAAGAAAGTTCACAGTGAGACAATCTGGTAGGGGCATGCCACCACGCTAAGAGCTAGCATTGAGTCTCCTGCTATGGTTAATGGATAGTTATCCATGTTTTCCTTCTCTTCTCAAGGCCATGTGCTTTTTTCCCCAATGATCTCAAGAAGTGTCCCCTGAAATGGCACTAAGCTTTGAAAGCATGTGTATTTTTCCAAAGGAGGCCTACTCCATTATCTCCTGTTATAAAAATTCTATACATCAGACAACCAGATTCACATTTCTCCCTAGGCTGCCTGGCAGAGAAATTCTGAATCCACAACGACTCAATGAATATGTTTTTATTCTTCACCAGGGTTTGATACGTCATTATTATTGTGTCTCCAATCCCCGAACAAATTCCTGAAGTACCAGAACCACAAATTCCCATCCACTAACTTTTCAAATGGAAATAGTTTTCAATGGTTATAAAATTATGTGGACTTTTTAAAATAAAAAATCAGACAATACAGCAGAGCTTAAGAAAAGAAAAAAAAAAAATCACATAAGATTTCACTACCCATAGGTAAATACGGTTAGCGTTTTGATATAAATTATTTCACCTTTTTTCTCTGTAGCAAACACAGTGTCTGGCACAAAATTGTTCCCTAATAAACTTTTTTGGATTAGCTAAATATGAGACA